CAAGTTTCTATGATTTTTGGTTTCGGAGATATGACCTTGTTTTTCAGGTCATGTCATGACCCAAATGGACAATTCTCAACATCTTGCGTTTGCCATGGGCCTTATGAGCTTTTGACACCCTGATTTCGGCCTTTTTTGCCAGTCTTACCTCCCACCTATCATGGAACATGTTGTTCGACGATGTACAGGGGTCAAGGTCAGGGTCAAGGTCAACCTAGGTCATCTAAGATAATTGCGTTTTAGGCTAGCTGAATGTACTTTTTTTGAAGTTTTTTGACTGCATTTTTGGTAAAAGCTTCTCAGATCATGATTTCATGTAATATGGACCCAAAAATAATCGGTGCACACATCAGTATACACACAGACACACACAGACATACAAACACATATAATTGACCTTGACCTAACTTGACCTGAAATGACCTCAGCAGCAAAGTTCTGGTCGGGTAGTGTGACAAAGAGGTTCTAGCTGGCTTGGCACCAGAAAACAGCATCGTCATCGGTATTTGATACGCAGCACACTTGTTATCCAACGTTGACCCAAAACAGCAACATCTTTTAGTTTGACCTGACCTGGAAGGTCAATGACTGACCTGAGAAGGTAAAACTGGGTATCATTGGATTCGTCTCTTCCCAAAGAATCTTTTTGGTCTTTACTGCTAAGCTCTATCTCCAACAGGAACGAAATGGCGCGGGGGGGGGTGGCAACCACCCCCCCATGTGCGTTCTAGGATGGGAAAATGGCATGTGCGGGCGAGGGTTAAGGCCTGGCTACACTATGCGTTTTCTGCGTGCGTTTTTTGCGAGTTTGCGTGATTTGCAGAATATCGTTCTAGAAAGAAACAAAATTACGTTGTCATATGTTTTTCATATAAACTTTTAATTAACATAAACGTTTTATTAATTTTTTATATCAATATTAAAGAAGTTTATTTAATAATAACCCTTTTTCTAGAACGATATTACGCAAAACCCGCAAACACGCAAAAAACGCACGCAGAAAACGCATAGTGTAGCCAGGCCTTTAAAGAGAAATTGGTACAAAGACAAACATTTTTTTTTGTGCGTGTGTCCGGTATGGCATAAAACTGGTTGCCAGGCTTCACTTCAAACCTCCTAATTCAGCAATCGTCAGTGAAAAGTTACGAAACATTCACCTTCATAATGTAATGTATGTGTCGAAAATCGAAATGCTATTTCATATCCGTTATAACATATTGGGCATTGGCGTAACCAGTTTGCTTTTTTGTTAGTAGAATCCAGAAAGCATCTGACCTCATTTTGGAGAAAAGAAAGAGCTTATCAAATCGCTGCTCGAAATTATCTCACGTCGCTGGGTATTTTAGTCGTTCCGTCCTCTTCCCATCCACTTAGGAGCCTCTCAAATGACGACCATCTTCGGCATTTAGCGGAGAAAGTTGTGTGTGCTGACGATCCATCCGCTGAATCCGTCCAATCCGTCCAAATTAGGCATTCGGTTACGGGTTTGGCCAGTTCTGGTCGCCGGTGGACTTCACTAAAACCTTTGAAAATTGAAATTGTTGTGACAATCTTACATAGGTGCTGGAATTGGGGGGGGGGGGAAGTGGGGGCAGGTTGCCCCCACATCTCTGGGGCCGTGGGATTTGAGACGGAATGCCGCACTTTTTTTTGCCAATGTTTTCTTTTTGTTGTTGAAAAAGCAAAGGGATGAAAAATAAGTGACCTAAAACCGGTGAGAAAACTAGATTTGGGGGTACCCTAGGTTGATCTCTATTATGGTGTGCCCCCCAGTCTGAAAGCAGTTCCCGCGCCCCTGCAATCTTAGGAAGACCCGCTATATTTCATCTGACAATTTAAGTGATAATACATCTGCAAAAGTCGGTTTTGTAACTATGCATGGTAAATTCTTACTTAATGGGCTTTGAATTTAAGTGAAGCCAATCCATGAGCTTATTCGTTGTGTTGGCGTCTATACGCCTTTGCACCATTCTCGCTTTTTTATTTGTGCGATGTATGTACGTACCTACTGTGCCATATCTATGCTACTACATACATAGAGGTTTATCATACGCATGTGCTTACAGATTTATTATTGAGTATGTATATTGTATGTGCATGAATTATATGCGTAAAAAAATGCTCTCTACGCATAAATAAGTGTATGGTTCTGCATACTGCTTCATTTGGAAGAAACTTGTCAGTTGCGTCCACATGTTTGGTAAACTTGCCTTTAGCAAGAGACTCGAATGAGAGAGGTAGGTAGCGCTAAAAAGTGCAGATTGTTATCAATTTATAGCTGTTGTCAAGTTTGGTTAGGTATATAATTACAAACATTAGCTTTTATGAAATATAGGTAGATAAATAGGTAATGCTCATGAAACAAATATTTTTTTCCAGTGGAATACGAACGCCATGACTTACTTACTTATGAAAGCGATGTACGTAAGTTCAGCCTGGCGTTTTTAAATCTTCCATAGTTGCAGTTTGCATTTTTTTAACAACATGAAAGCCTTAACCCGCGCCCACTGGGGGGGGGGGGCTATTCATAGCCCCTCCCGTTTTTCTGTAATAACTTCCAAACTGCTTGACGTATCGACGCCAAACTTTCAGTATCTTCGGCTGCGTCAATTTTACACTTTGTGTCAAAATATTAACTTCGTAGCTACCATAGGTTGGCCGAAAATGACGTCAGAGTGATGTCTTGTTCGGCCGATTTCGACGCAAAACATTGAACCACGGCAATCGCTCCCAAGAGCTCAGTTTTAAGCTAGATCCAATTTCTTTGCATGCAAGGACTAAGAATAGACTGTGCTATCAAACTGTTATCTCGGATTTTCGAAATTTTGAAAGTTTTAAAAATTATGTATAATAAAATTCAAAATTTATATTTTTATATTTTTTTTCAACTTCTTTTGACTTTTCGAAAAAACGGAATATATACCAGTATAACGCCTTTTGGGGCGACTAACGGAGCGAGCGAGAGGGTGGGCCTTGCACGTGCGAAATTGCGAGGGGTACCTCCAACTGACTTGTGCACGGCACCCTACTAACCGGTCTCTAGCGATGTGTCAAATTTGGGCACAATCGGCCCAGCCGTTCTCGAGATCTGGAAGCGGCACCCTGCACGTGCGCACGTGCAAAATGGATCCCAACTGACTTGTGCACGGCACCCTACTAACCGGTCCCTAACTGTGTACCAAATTTGAGCGCAATCGGTCCAGCCGTTCTCGAGATCTGGAAACGACCCCTGCACGTGCGCACGTGCAGCAACACCCCAACTCTGGCACATGGATATGCAGTGCCTAGTGGGTGCCTACTGCCTACCTACATGCCAACTTTCAGCGCAATCGGCCAAGTAGTTACCGAGATATTGCAACAATTAAAAAACTGACACCTCTTCGTTTTGCACGTGGCACGTGCATAAGGGGTCACCCAAATGCATCGGGAATAGTCCAATACTTGGTAGAAGGAATGAAGCTACCCTACAAAAGTTACCGCATGTAAATCGGTCAAGTGGTTGCTGAGATATAAGCCTCGCAAAAGCGTCCGCACGCGCTCATACTCAGAAATTTCCGTTAATCTAAGGAAAGACTACGCTCGCTTCGCTCGCTCCGTAATGATAGAACTCATGCATATGACTTACTCTAGCAAGTTTAAGCTAAAGGTCTTAAAAAATGGCTAAGTTATACGCATTATTGCAAACAAATTTACAATTAAAATTTTTCAAATCTAATTTTCAGTACGTATTTGACATCGCACACCAATATATATATATATATATATATATATATATATATAGCACCCATCGTGTTCCTGAGCTCAAACTGCATCAAATAGACACCTTTTTTGTTGAAAAATTTTAAATTCAAAATTTGACCTTTTTTGACCTGAAAGTGACCTGACCTAAGCAAAATTCAACTCAAAATGACCTCGAATGACACAAACGACATCAAATTCGAAATTTATGGCCTAAATGGACCATAAAACATGTGTCACGTGACCGACGCATGATATAATATTTCCGTGACCTGTGATGACCTGGACCTGAAAATCAAAGTACAAGCTTGGTACCCTCAGGGTATCTAAAGCATCTGTTCTAGAGTGTGTAAACCAAAAATGATCCTGATCTGATTTGTAAGACGGCGGCCCGAGCCCACAATGTGAACAAGCCAAAATGCTATTAATTTTTACTTTCACCTGACCCGTGACGTCATCGGTGACCTCGAGGTCAATGAAATTAGGTCTCGCTCGACAATTTTTCCGGGGCTAACAGACGCCGTTTGAATTTTGACGATCGGCCCAGTAGTTTCGGAGTTAGGGGGGGGGCTATGAAGAGCCCCCCCCCCCAGTAGTGCGTGTTATACGCAGACCCCAGTGGGACGCGGGTTAATCCCTATGCATAACACTTAAAGTTAAATGTTCAAATTGTTTTTGTAAGTTCGCTATTTATTGTTTGACGCAGTGTGCTTGCGCTCATTCGACGTATTGTTGACGTAAATGTTGTCAAATGTTTGTTGAACATGCCTTTCCATATTTGGCGTGTTCGTGTTTCCATTCGTGTAATTTGGCGCATTCTAATCTGTTCATTTCTAGCATAAACGACGCACACCAATGCATTTGTGACGTAAAATCTGTCCACTCGTCCAGTTGCGTCCCACGTCAACGGAAAAGTTGCAGTAATTTTCAGTGTCAACGTGTGATGTCACTGTTCGAGATGCCATTTTGGGTTAGTGCCAGGTGACATTAATGACCATCCTGATAGATGACAGCAGTCAGAGAAGAAGACAGCAGTCGAAGAAAAAAGTGGCTTATAGATGGCATGCAGAAGAGACACATCTCATACGAAACAAAATACTATATTTACATATTGCGGGGGCATTCCCATAACCAATGAGCGAAGCCATAAAGGGAAGCGATGCGATAATAATACATGAAATAAAACAATGGTCGAAGCCGGGTACCGCAGCTAAATAAATGGTAACTGAAACATGATCGCTACTGTCAGCTTACATCCAACGGAATGTGTTTCCATTTTATTACAGGCTTTCACAATAAAGTATCTTGAGGTGATGATAAAACGAACACATCAAAAGACCCTCCTCTACTGGTAACTATAGGTACTCGCAGTAACCGACACACTCAAAACACGGAGGACGAAACATCCAAAAATTACCTTTGGATCCGACATTAACAAAACAGCACAGGTCATTGCAACAAGTAAAATCAACAACAGCTCAGCGTCCGGACAGACGTGCCGCTTTCGAGGGCCTCTCATCACCGCAGTCTCACTGGCGGCTCACCGCCGCACCCAGCCAAACAAGGAAATAAATAGACGAAATACCTTAGAACAACACAACAACAGCGCGGTGCGGCCGAAGGGGCGAGCGGCGCGGACGGAGGCGCCGCGGGCTCGCACGTGCGCCCGCGGCGGTGGGAACCGTTTGTACAGGCAGCGGGACGGAAACGTTGCGCGAGTGGCGCGTACAAGGCATCAATAAATATCGACAAGTCGTCCACGGTGTGTATCACAAGCCGTTGGCCGGCGACGGGCCAGGGAGACGGACATTGCAGACTCTGCGGGCGACGGGGGACGGGCGGCGAGCGCTGCCGGGCGGGCGGGTCACAGCGGGGATACGGATACCTTTGAGACTCGGACGCTACCCGGCGAGCCAGTCGGGCGCCAGGTCCACTCCAGTACCCCTCGCGGCCATCCGCGCACCCCCTAACGCCCCTACCACCCCGTAACGCTCCTACGTCCCGTAACGCCTCGCCGCCCCTGTAAGCCAGCCCCAGGGCCCGCCCGCGACAACAGCGGGCGTTGGTGGCTTCCGCGGCCGGCCGGGCCGCCACCCGGCTTTGTTCTTTGACCCAGATCGCTGCGGGCGCTGGCCACGACACGGCCGCCCCCTGCGCGGCGCCAGAGGGCGCTGGGAGCGCCGGTCGGCCGCTGCCGGTGGCACCCGTCACACCGGAGCGCCGCCGGGCCGCCGGTGTCAGCCCGAGCAGCCCGGCCCGGCCCGGCCCGGCGGCGGCTCCGAGGCGGCCCAAAGTGTCACACAGATCTAGGACGTCCGCTTTCCACCGGACTGGGCAGCCGGCGAGGCCCGGCCGCCGCACCGCCGCGCGCCGCGCCGCCAGTGAAACCCCCATGAACCAGCTATTTTAGAGTCGTCGATGTGATACTCGAGATGCATTAGATGAGCGCGAGTCGGTTCGCGTGTGTAGATGTGTACCTAAAACGTACATACTCGTTTAAGACTTTCAGTCTGTCGTAGAGCAATGATTCCGTCAGTACTAGACCTAAGAACAGAGCCCTAAGAAAAAAAGACCACTCAATTGACCGCTCAGGTACGACGCTAGTCTAGTCTTTCAGTCAGCACCACTCCCCGTCAGTCGCGATCACCAGTCCCGTCAGTCACGGTCACCAGTCCCGTCAGTCGCGCGATCGTCGATCGTCGATCGTCGCACGCACACCGGTCCCGTTCCCAGCGCAGGCTTCCGACGGCGTCCACCCCTCTGTCCGGCTCCTCCGGCCCTCTCTCCACTGACACACCAGGTGACGTCACGCCCGACTGCGCCGCTCCTAGCCGCGCATGCGCCACTGCCGCCGCGCCGCGCCGCCGAACGTCGACCCAGATTCACCAGTCGCTGGATCCGACTGACCCACTTGGGAACCAGAACACTTTTGGTGTTAGCCGGCCGGCGGCGGCGACCGGCGCGCGGTCGTTTACCAAAACTCGCCTGCCATCCGTTCCCTAACCCCTGCGGCCCTGCGCCGGACCCTGCCAGGTCACCGCGGCCTCCTCCGAGACAGGGGGCCAGCCCCGGCGGCGCGCTGCGCCCGGTGCGGCGCGTGACAGGTGGCGCCGCGCGGCCGCCGGAGCCACTGACCCGCCAGTGGGTCGACGGGCGGCGGCGCGGCGGCGGTGGGCGGCCGGGCTTTCTCCGCCGGACGACGACCGGCCCGCGGTGCGCCGAGACAACCTTGAAAGATGGACGCGCAGCGCGCGCGCGCCGCTCACGTCCGCATTGCACGCCGCCCGAGAGACGAACCTGGCGCAGGCGCGGCACACTGCGCCACGAGTGTCGAACGAGCACTGGAAGCGCCGCGAACGCCTCGCACAATCGGCGCCGTCGCCGGCCGCTAGCGCACAGCTGGGGTCAGTCTCTGCTGATGCGCTTATGGATGTTGTAGTGCTTGAGGAGATGTGCTTTCTGTCGAAACGCCTTATTGCACGTCTCACACTTGAAGGGTTTCTCGCCGGTGTGGGTGCGGAGGTGGACCTTGATGTTGGACTTGTTGAGGAAGCCGCGGTTACAGATGGTGCATCGGTGCACCAACTTATCCTTGGTGCCTTCGGTGGCGATCGGCATCGACACGATGGGCCGTCGCTTCTTGGCGCTGCTGCCCCCGCTGCTGCCGCTGCTGCTGCTGGGCGGCTCGATGGAGTAGCTGGGCGGGCTGTAGGTGACCAGGGGCCGCTGCAGCCGCTGCTGCAGCTGGATGTTGTGCAGCATGCCGTAGCCGGGCGGCGGTGGCGGCCGCGCCGAGCTGCTGGCGAACGTGGGCGCGCACCCGTTGCCGGCCAGCAGGTTCTGCAGCATGGGGCTGGAGGTGCTGTAGGGGACGGTGGTGTGCACCTGCTGGGGCTGGCCGCCGAGGCCGGCCGAGCTGGCAGCGCTGTACCGCAGCTGCGCCTGCGACTGGCCCTCGATCCACGCCTCCAGGTCGTGCATGTCGCTGCTGGTGAAGCTGCCCAGGTCCATGCTCTCCGGCACGGCGAGCTGCGGGTCCACCATCGCGGTGCCGATGATCGAGGCGAAGTCGTCGTCGACCATGTCGTTGGGCAGGTAGTTGTCGATGCCGCAGGTCTCGGCCGGTTTCATCATGACCGACTCGGTGACCTCAGTTTTGAGCGGCAGCGCCTCGGGCAGCTCACCCATACCGGAGGTCGTGGTGGACACGAGGTCGGGCGTGCCGGGGCCGGGCTCCGGCGCCGGGTAGTACCCGCCGGGAGATCCCGCCGGCTCGACCGAGCTGCCCACAAAGTCGCACTGGGTCAGCGCCTTCAGCGGCGGCACCGGCTTCAGCTCGGCGAAACTGGACGACGAGGCGGCGGCGCATTGTGCCGACGAGGAGCTGGGCACGGGCGACTGGGACCGGAAGATGGTGTCCAGGGCCGACTGGAGGCCGGCCTTGCTGTCAGTGGGCTCGTAGCCAAAGTCCTCCTGGCTCCACGCCTGCACTGAGTCGGGCGATGTTTGCGGGTACAGCTTCATGGCGCGGCGGCAGCGAGAGTGGCGAGATCAGACTTCCAACGGACGCGACGACGACGGTGCATGCTCGGTGCCTGAAACAGAACGGGTATTTTAGTCAGACACTGGTGAATAATCGGGCTACAAAAGATAGAATGGGATTGAGATTCAGTAAGATTCGGGCTAATAATGAGATTCAGGTAATGTTACTGGAGCGGCAATCGATGTGCTTGACGATAGAGCGACAGCGATGACACCGTGCGATAAAACTTTTGAATCACTGAGACGGGGTACTGTGAAAGGAAATTGTGTAACGTCAGCTGCGCCATCACAAAATCCAGTAAAGCGTTGGCTTTTCTCGGAGACGTGGAGTGATTTTTGTGACGATGTTCGCTGAACTGCGTCACCCACGCCCGTCGGTCCGGTGTCGAAATTATTTCTGGAATCTGACTCACGGGGCGACGTCCGACAGGAGCCATTTCACAATATTATGACCACTCCATTCTCCTACTATGAACTCCGACGCCGAGTCACTGACTCCCTCGAACTGTGCGCGGCGGCCTTCGGATGAATCAGGGCCACTTTCAGCGCGTTGCAGCCAGCGACCTCGCCCCACAAATCGTTCGTCGTCCGCCCCTCTCCGCGACGTCACAATCTACGCACATCTCAAGGCCAGCAGCGCCGATTTGAACCGGGTGTGAGCTCTCCGGTATTGTGACGTCATGAGTGATCAGTGGGTCAGACGAGCAGGTGGTGAATGAACGTTCTACGCAGCACCCTCCCTCCGCTCACACGCTGAGTTGCGAAAGTGCTCCCTCTGCGAACCCCAGCTCGACGCGGTTCGTCTCGCCCCGGGCGGCGGCTCCACCGAGCTCCAGGAAGCTCGAGCGGCGCACCGCTAGCAGCTACACCACCGGCGGCTGACTCAGAAGTAAAAGTGGACGGAGCGAACACGCCGGACACGCCGGCACCGCGCCGCGACTGTCAACAGCGCGCCGCGGAGCCGTATGCGGCACACGTGCGCCGGTTGTGCACGGGCGGAGGCGGTGCCGGCTCTGCCGACTATGCATGATCGACGGCAGTCACCGCACGGACGAGGACGAGGGATACATTATAATTCAGCGCGGAATTGAGGCCGCGCGCCGGTCACGTGCGCTGGACGCCGGCGCCGTGGAGCGCCCGGCACTCCGGGCTGCCTGGGAAGCTGTAGTGTAGTTAGACTCCGGCGCATCTAGGACTGACGAGTACCTATATTCCTCAGATAAGGCATAGGTATGCTAAAATTTCACCTGCTCTGGAGACTGAATTAAGTTGATGCGCCTTTTGTGACACTAGCGAGAATAAATAAATGCGCGGTTCAGCTGTTCTGCAGCATATCGAGCAAGATTTGCAAGGCTACCAATACTTCTCTTTATTGAATATGACAACTTTAGCTCAGAACCTCTGTTGAATTTCAATGAATTGCTCTCCCTGATGCACCTACACAGGCAGGTGTTCTGGTGTTGCTTGCCGCTTCATTCCCAGTGAAATGGTGACGTTTTCAGACAGACATTACTCAAGAGATTGTTGACTGTTGTCGGCAGGTGTGAATGAAAGCAATGAAACATCTGCAGTGACGGAGTCGCGCGCCCGTATATCATAGTTTTTGACTAAGCAGAAGCAAGCTTTGTCGTCTACCGAATGCCAGACCAAGAAAACTCGATGGTTGGATATTGGAAGCATTGTATGTAGCTGGTGTTCTTTGAAAGCCATGCTGGTGAAGAGGAAAACTGCTTGGTTTACAGCATTACGTGAACATAGAGACACTGGTCATTACGTCGGTCCGTTGACGGCCTAAAATGATTTAAACTAATGACCTCCTGTCATAAAATGACCCGTTTGGACTGGTCAAACACCAGTCATTATTGCAAGGTTCTCTCTTTGCCCACAGTTGTTGCAACTACATGGCAGCTGGACGGTATCATTTCCTGGGTTCCACCAGACGGGCGGCAGAAGTAGTCCAAGTCTTACAGAATGTAGGTCCAGCGCGGACAGCCAGTTCCGCAGGGGTTCTAGGAATCACCCCAACAAGGCACCATTCGAATTCCTGCCCGTCCCAATCCCCGGTCTGTCCTGTTGATGGGACTGCCGTCTGTGATATCCGTAAGCTCCTGATCCGGACTCACAGGTTCCGGTGATTTCTGCCGCAGCCAGCAACGGCCCAGATAGTCGAATCACGACTTCCACGGCTGGAAGCGTAAGCTCAGAATCATGAGCTGTACGACGCCGGTAACGCCCGTACCGACTAAGCAGGATTAGAGCTTTACTATCAACCGCATGCTAGTGAGCTTAGCATTACTGACCCGCCGTGCGAGGTTTTCGCAAAGTGTGTCGTGTGTGCCGAACGACAATGCGATTGTGGCTTCGGATACAGCCCAGCGCCTTTTTCACCACAATTTCAGATCCAACCATCAGTGTCGGCGTCCGTCACGCCGCAGGAAATGGCAATTTCTGATAAATTGCTCCGCGATGACAGGCTGGTTTTGGGCAACGCTCTGGCATGCGTCTTCGAGCTCACTTTTGAATGTAGGACGGGCCGAACATAGCTCGCTGGATGACCAAAGCAGTGCAGCAGCATGATCTGTCAATTCGTATTAGGTGATTCTGATTTCACCTGGACGGATCTTCGAATAGGATGGATGCCAAGGCGGATGCTGATCATCGCTAGCTCATGGCCAGATCGCTCGGATAGAAGCTGAAAGACGACTCAAAACGCTAGCCAGTCTCTGCAGAAGCAGGGTACAAACTACAAGTGTTTGCTCTCCTACGAGTCGAGCTGGGCTGCTTCTGGGGCCCAACGTCACTACTAACGAGTTAGATCGAGGCCAGCAGCGGTCTGCATTCGCCGAATGGCGATCGGAATGGGCGTTGGTTCGACGTGGCCCATGCCGCGTCAGGTCATTAAACCCTTATCGCCATGCCATGCGGTGGCGATCAAGACCAGGCTATCGCCCGATCGCCGTTTCCGTCGAAAAAGCGCCGCGCCGGCGATAGCGGCGCATTGACGTCGAACGCGGCGTGGCGGCGACGAGCGTGGCGCGGATGTGGGCCGGGTCGGTCAGGTCGGGTCGGCCGCGTGCCGCCGCCTGGTCTGCACCAGAACACGGCACCCGCCCGGGCCACCGCCCCTGCAGGAGACAGCGGACCCACAGCGGGCGTGCCACTGCTCCGCCGGGTCTGAAAGGAACCAATGTTCCAGATCAGTTGCAGCCACGCCTCATACTGAACCCCAACGGTGTTGGGAGTGCCTCAATTGCTACGCATGGTGTGATCCTTCAGTAGAAGAACTTTGGCATAAGTGTACATGTGGACTGGACGAATGACACCCAAAAGAAAATAGGTATAAAACGATTTTTTTTACACTAACTAAAATGTCCCGCCGATAGAGCGATAAGAAAACAGGCATCTTTCTCCCAAACTCTCCACCTCCGATATAACGATCTCATCGAACCATCAGAGCTGATCCTCAGCAGCCGTCTGTCAGGCTCTGTTCCTCAGCAGCCGTCTCTAGGCAGCTGTCTATCAGCAGCTGTCTATCACTCCTCTGCCGTCTGACCCACTGTACGAGCTCCTCGTAGCTCCACGGTACGGCGTAAAGGACCACGCACGTGACACGGGTGCGTCGCGACTTCTGAGCAGCCGCCCGTCGTCCCCGGTCGGCAACTGGCCACTACCGGCTGCGGTCCGCAGATGGTCCGTCTGACATGGATCCGTCGATACGCGGCCGGTCGCTCTGCCGGCACGCCTCTGATGCCGGTCCGGCCGGCCGAGGGGCGGCGCGGCATCCAGCCGTAACTTTCTCCGGCCGATAAGAATGCATAATGGCGGCCGAACACGGCTTTGACCACCGGGCGCGACATTAGCATCTGCCCCGGCGGCGCTGAAGGCGGTGGGTGGTAGTGGTGGCGGTACTTCTGCTCCTGCAGCGCGCCGTAGCGACTCGCCATGCCGATCTGTCCACCGCCCCACTTCTTCCTTAACAATAGCGTCGATCCTCGGACCGGGCGTGGACGGTGGCCACCCTCGTGACGCTGCCGGCGCCGCCCCTCACCACACAACAATTCGCCATTGACGAAAGCGAAACGCGGCCCTGCGCCGGCCGTGGCGCGCCGGCGGCAAAAAGTTGGCGCGCGCCGCGCTGTGCCGGCGGCGTGCACGGCTGACGACGCATCAGGGTCGCCGGCGAAACTACGCCCGGAGAAACTCGCCGGGCTCCTGGGCCGGGGGCAACGCTCGGCGCGGTCACCGGCCGCCGCGCGGCTCCTAACGACGCCGGGCGGCGCGCGCGCGCTGCGGGAAGTGGGGTCGCCGCTGCGGCCTGCGGCGATGTGCGAGGTGGGAGGTCGGCGCGCAGGCCGCCCGCCGGAGGATGTGTCGTGATTAGGCCGACCGAGACAGGCCGGAGGAGGATGTAGCGGTTCCGCTGCACCGCGGTCTCGTCCCCGCATCCGCCGAATCACCGGCAGCTGCAGAGCGAACAGGGAACTCGGGAACAGCAACCGTCCATTGTAGACAGCTGCATGGTCTCCCCAGTCCACACACTTCATCACTTCTCACAGCACAGTGACACATCCTTCATCAACCCAAACCGCACGATAGACCAAAATCGTCAGAAAAATCTAAAATAGCCACACCGCCACCCCGTCCCACGCTCGTCACGCCGGAGGGGCCGTTGACCCCCGATGGGGCCAACAGTAGCCGATCTAGACACACGCCACCGGCGGACGGCTCAGCTTCGCTGCATTGTTTCCGTGTTGCACTGCGCTCAGTTCGTGCAAAAACGCCACTGCTATCGGCTGGCGGACCGGCAGGAACGAGGAAAGCCACCGTGGGATCGGCTACGAATCGCCTTCACAGGGTGGAGCTGAACGGCGTGAGTTCAGAGCTGAGCTGAACGGCGTGAGCTGAGCGGCGTGAGCTCAGAGCTGAGCTGATCGGCATGAGCTGAGCTGGAGGCGCTGGACTGGGCTGAGCCACACTGAGCTCGCATGGACCCCGTCCGGGCTTACAGGGTAGACGCATGCTAACTAGGCTGCGAGTTACCCATCTGCCCACTATCCCCCTTCTCAGGACAACGCGAAAATGTACTAGTTTCCATAAGGTTTTATGGGATTATGGCAGCCTTTTCTAGGGTAGCGTGGGAATTAATAGCCCTTACAAGAATGATGCCTTTCAGAACTAGGACATGACACTGGCTCTGAGCTGCACGGCTGGCAGACTCTGCCTGTCCTCCAGAACGACACGGGTGGTGAGCCATGTCACTTCTCGGAACGACACGGAACGATGATGGGAGCACAGGACCGAAAATAATGACGAGACTCGCTTCTGCTTCGAGCTGACTTATCGACGCAATTCTCCCGAGTTAATGTGGCGTTACGGACGCGTTACGCTTTACACCGCTTTTTACAATTATGTGTAATTAGTGACCTAAAATTACCCTTTGTTTTAACCCATTACATAGAAACTGACACGGCGTGACAAAGTCTCACACGAAAAGTGTCGTGTGCCTTAGGACAATTTTGTGACATCGCTATACTGAACACAGGGTGACAATGCATGGTGGGTGTTCTAGGTCGGTCGTTTCCGCATTGAGCGTAATGCATGAACTCAGCGTGGGCGCTCCGTGCTAGCCAGGAAGCCCTTCCCGTGTGGTTACCTGCACTTGTGCCGCCATCAACCTCTAGAAGTCATCTGAGCGGACATAGTTCTGAAACCGGAACAGAGGGGCTGTTACACAGAGATCGAGGCATAAATTATCATCAAATACAGCAGTCATGGTCAAGCAGCAATCACATATCCGTATCGGGTCGATAGCAAGCCACTAGGACGCCCCCCAGGATCTCGGTGCTCGCGGCCGCACAAAATGCAGTCTCCGGGTTAGGTTTCTATGCTTCGCTGCAGTCGCTCAGCCCGTCGTGGTGCAGTATTTGGAGCAGACGCCCATTGGTCGTTTCGATGACGATAGCGGCACAGGAAACTAGCCACACCTCAGCCGCGCGGGCCGGGCCGAAGTGGGGCGTTCATTGAGGACGTGATTGGAATGCGAGAGTGGATTAAGGATTTGGAGTTTGAACCGCAGAGACTTGGTGAATTGTAGATGACCTAAGCAGGGCTTCCAGTGACCTCAAGCTGAGGCCTCTTGCACCAAAATACCTCGCTAGGTAGAATCGGCAAAATACCTACCTAGTAAAACTACCTACGGCGGTAACTTCTCTTGCACCATCCTACCTACCTACCTAGGTAAATTTGACAGCTTGCGTTTTTAGGATTTGTTTTGATTGGCTGTTTGGCGACGAATTATTTGTGGGCGCTGAACAAATAGTAACTAAAGAAAACAATTATATGGATATTGTTTTTGTTAATATACATTTTGGTATTATAAAATCATTTTCCATTTACGTAAATACGGATAGAAGTTATTTTGATATTAAATTACTTGAACAAATAAGCTTCGTTTCCATGGCAACGAGTGAGTCTTCAACCAGGCTGTTCTGCTACGGAGTTTTATCGCTTTGGTACGGAGAAGCACCTCTGTGAACCCATGGAGCATTTGGTCAATTATATTATTATTCACTCATAAAACATTGATTTATCATTGTCTAAACATTTTTGCTAGTTATTTTGGAAGCCCGAGTTTACCGTCAAACCGTCAAAAATTCCTCCGCGAGTACTTCCTTCCGGCTTTCGGTGCAAGAGGAAAACAGCCGGTCGGACTTTAACAATTGGTAAGTTCTTATGCCGCTCGGTAGAATTTCTAGGTAAATTTTCACGGTAGCGTTTTTTGGTAGGTAGTTTGGTGCAAGAGAATCTAGGTAAAATCTGAATTTACCTAGGTAGGTAGTTTGGTGCAAGAGGCCTCTGATGACTTTATCACATAAAGCGAGTGTAAGGAAATGTTTTTTTTTCTGGATTTCCCTAACAGCAGTGCAAGCGATGATGCAATGCATTGTATGACGTCTTCAAGTATGCACAAAGAAAGCTTGAACAATGAACTTTTTCTGTTGTTACAGAAAATTAGTGTGAAATATTCGTGCAACGCCCGATATGAAATGCCTCCACTTCTAGCAGGACTTGTTCGGACGACCCACGAAAATACCCGTTGAACATTAACACCTAAACTGGGCGACTTTTTGCCAAATGCCGGTCACCTCACGATAAGGAGCCAAAACCGCCGAGCGCGCAAAAACCCACCAGTGCAGTGGCGGAACCTACTTCTTTATCAGCCATCGGCGGAGGTGTTTTTGATAGAGCGACGTCCGGCGTGGGCTGCCACTCGACCTGGACTTTGGGGTCTGTCCGGAGCCGGCCGGGACCAGCGGTACCCATTCCTGGTCCTCGCACGTGGGGAAGGACGGACAGACAGGCTCCAATCAGGAGTGGTAAATTAGGCGGCCAACGGTCCCTCGGAAGGCGGTTGTAAATGATTTGGGACACTTGAGATGCGGTAGTCACTAGTGTGCCTCTGTTCTAGCCGGGCACTGTGTAACTATTATCATCATTCGCTGGAATTGAGGTCCTACACCAGCTGAAGTCCGCACTTCCTAGTTTCCACCGACGATGGGCAAACCGGCGCCACCACTGGTCCATGTGATAAAACCAGCCGCACCCGCGGACGAGCCCGTATAAATCCATAAAGCCGCCACTGGGCCGGCGGCGCCGCGGCGCGGTGACCCTGTTTCCCTGTTACCGTGCGGCGCCACGCGGAGTGATCCATCACACCTCGGTGTTCGTATGAAATAGCTGAGCGGTCCAACCAGTTCATACAGCACGCCTGAGGGACGCGGTCGGGCGGCCGAGCCGTCCGTGTACATTCCTCGCCCACCTCAGCGGCCATGGGTGTCGGCGGGCGCGGCCGCCGCTCGGGCGTGCAGTGAAACTCGCGCTGACCTGCGGGGTCAGCGTCACTAATTTCGGCTCGAGGGCTTATCAGCGGCAGTTAACTTGTAATGCCGTCTCCGCAGGGACGAGACACGTCTGACGGATGGTGCAGCTGTGAGAAACTGCAGGAATGGTGACGAATGGACTTTCATCATGCTAGGCTTCCGCGCTACCAGTGCGTCTAGTGGTCTACATAAAGGAGTGCCTCGCCGCGGTGATCCGATTTGGGATTATGATCCTTGTGGGAACTGGGTGGCACACTCTGGGCACTCCTTGAAACTCGCACAACACTCAGTAGATCCAGTACATAACTGGCTGATACAAGAATAACGTGTTATTCTTACCATCGATATGCTATTTATAAACGAAGCTGATGATTGGCCTTCCAATGGTGAATCCATGCTAAGCTTTCCGCATCTCTCGTGTGCGGTTTTCAGTCATTCTTTGCCGACCACAAACGGCAGGCAATTCAGATTGTAATTCCGTGTGTTTCACGCACCGTTACCATGTAAACCTCAAACGTGCGCGGCATTCTGTCAGCGTCTGCGTGGGTCGCTGTTCTAGTTCCCACGGTAAAACCTAGTGCCGGGCGCACGCTTTGCTATGGACAGCTCGTATACCCAGTGGCAGGTGCCGATAAAGTGAGACATAATCCGAGCTACTACAGCAGAATGCCAACTATGCAGGCTACGGTATAAGTCGATGAACTGGAAGGCCTAATTCAAGTGGATTACTCATTATAGAGCCACGCTTGACTGCACCAGTCAAAGGAAATCATGTTTAATTCGCCCATTAGGGGAGGACCTACCGACAACAATGCAGACAAAGCCCGCACCTGCTGCGGAGCGGGGAACCGGCAGTGCGTGGATGTCTTGTGCGTCTATAACGACGGTATTTGTTTACAAGGAACAACAGCTCGCAGTTATAATGGCACGCATGTAGACCACCTGTTCAGCTACACAGAGTGAGCAAACAACCCTGCTTTGGGTCGGGAACGCCCCAGTTCGTATGATCCATTATTTCCACGAACATCTATGCGTAACAGGCATACATACATCAGCAGGCATCAGCTTGATACAGACACGCGGACTATCGATGGCCCAATTTGTGTGGTACCTGTCTTTCCGTAAACACACACATCTCCAGCTCAAGCTTCTGGTCCTGAAGACACCAAAATTGTCTATTTCTGCCTGTCGGGCCCGCCCAGCACAGACGGTATCCGCGGTGTGCCCTCCGGTGTTACCGGGCCGGCGGACGGCGTCCGCGCAGCTGGCAGACCACTCTCTACTGACCCACATACTGCTTCCCGCGCCGCCTGCGCCGCTGCTCGCCACGCTGCGCCGCTCCACGCCGCCGCTGGGGCTGAGAAGCTGGCGTATAGTTATCAACCGTCAAGTGCTGGTGCATAACTATGAAGGATGCCTACTCGTAAAGGGTGCACAGCGGGTACCTGCACTGAGAAAAAAAATTATTCCCCTGGAACACCTTTAAGGGTGTGTACCAAACTGCACCTCGCTGGGGTGTCAGACGGGTGTCACTTTTGACACCAATACAGGTGTCATTGGGAATGAAACACCGGGTGTCTGACACCCTTTTAGGTGTCTGATACCCTTTTGGGTGCACACCCAAAAGGGTGTCAGACACCCGGTGTTTGATTCCCAATGACACCTGTATTGGTGTCAAAAGTGACACCCGTCTGACACCCCAGCGAGGTGCAGTTTGGTACACACCCTTAAAGGTGTTACGAGAGTGTCCATTGGATGCCAAAAAAGGTGTCGACATATTCTTACATTTATTGGTTCAAACAGGCATATCGCATACAATGGCATTCCTATCTTGTATACAGCAACAAACTATAAAGTACAAAAAATATGGGCTCTATATTTACGGAGAAATCCAATGAAAACTCACCGAAACACATCGGGTCCATTCACAGTGAGAAGTTGCTCGCATTTCAGCAATGATAATTAACCGTCGATTATCTCCAACCAGATGTTATTCCGCAGTTCACTTGCTTTCGTTTCCATGGTGCAATGCTGTGTTGTCATCCTCACTCCAGACTTCAAATTTCACCGAGTACCGCCCGCCTCGTCATTTGAATAAACACGGAGCAAGCTACAAATAAAAGCTAAACATTATCATTAACGCACAATCACTTGAATAAGTACACTGCGAACAACGTTCGGCGCCACTATATTCACATAAATTCAAAAAAGCCCTGCCATCACTCACACCGCACACGCACCACGTGGCACGCCGCCGCCAACTGAAATCTAACGGCTTTCCTGCAAGGTGGCGCGTTTTGATCTTCGCATGGTTGACGCCGTGACTAGCACACAAATGACGTCACACAATGAAGCTTGCTGATTGGGTAATGATTCAAACCACTGGACCTGCTGTGGTTTCTAGCAGTGCTACGGAGTCAGAGTCGGAGTCTGATGGAGTTGGCAGTTCTGGCCGGAATAGGAGTCCATTTTGGAAGACAGAGCGGGAGTGCGAGTCACTGAAAATCCGTTAGACACCGCATCCCTGGTTCCTAACACAAGTGACGTCAGAACAATTTATGTGATGATTTAGGTTCGAATACACGACAGCTTTCAAACATTTCATGACTCATGCTGGAATGTTCCTCAACAAATGACAACACACGTGAAGGTATCACAAGGGTATCAGATCCCTTTTAAGGAACATTTTTGTTTACACCTTTTGAAGTGTTGATGGTTTAGGGTGTTTGACACCCGAATGGATGTTGGTGTAGGACACCCATTAATGTGTCTTTCTGAATCCCATTATGGTGTGTTTAAAAGCGCGTTGCACTTGAAGGTTGTC